AGAGAGGTAAAGAGGGAGAGAGTTCAAGCCAGGGAGGAGAGGGTTGTGGGGGGAATCTAGCTACCACCACTCCAAGTTCAGCGATGTTCTGTTGGCTCCGTCTGTTATTTCCAAGCGTCACAGGCTCTGTCGAAGCAGATTCTTGGAGATGCACAAGGAGGAGGAGGAGAACAAGAAGAGGAGGAAGCCCCCTCACAGGAGCACGCACAATCCTTTTATAGGGGTCCCATGCTCATGCGCGGAGTGCAATTGTGTACATGCAGTTCGTGCTATACGTGTTGTCTCCTCAGGCAGCCTTCTGCTGCTTTGCGCCCCGGCCCTTGTGCAAGCGCACGGTGGTACTTGTCTGCGGACCATTCGGGTGGTGTTTTCTGAGGCAGGATATCAAAATTGGGAAGTGGTGGTATAACGGCAATGTCGAGACAAACCTAATTTAGTTCCAGTTTTCTACAGCCTCCTTCTTTTAGGTAATATTTTTATTAAAATGAATTGCAAAAAAATACTGTTAAGGATTTGGTGAAAGGAAGAGCCTTAATGAAACCATGAAGTCATAGCTGAGACGTTCTCACATATTTATAGTTTTTACCTCTTGTGTTTTCCAGGAAACTGATTTAGATTTGGAGATGTTGGCTCCTTACATCCCAATGGATGATGACTTCCAGTTGCGATCCTTTGATCAGCTATCTCCGCTGGAAAGCAGTTCTTCCGGCTCTCAAAATGCAGTCACCATTACCGTATTTCAGCAGACTCAGACACCATCAAGTAGTGCTGATGAAATAAAACCAGTGGCAGAACATGTGGATGACGTGAAGACGCTAATTGTCCCTTCATCTCCTATCCTCGTAATCAGTGAAACGAGTAGTGCCCCAGCGTCACCGTACAGTGGGAACAGGAGTCGAACTGCGTCTCCAATCAGAACAGGAAAAGGAACGTTGGATCAGACGGAAAAATCTTGTCCGGGAGCACCCAATCTGCTAACAGTCACTCTGAATAAAAGGTATTTTAAAAGTGAAGCTTAAGCCCTAGTATCTGTTGAAGAAATTAGATACAATACACTTTTAAATACTGCCAACTGTTGTATGTTGTCTTCAGCATTCTACTTCAAAGTAGAAATTGATATGTTTTAAATTTGGACATTTCAAACAAATTTTTTTTTGCTATAGTAAGCTTCCCTTAATTTCACAGCAGCTTTTACATGAACATCTTATGCAATAGACAGCTGCTGTATGCAAACTGTGTTCATCATTTTGTTCTGCTCTCGTATCTGACATGCAGCCTTTTGAAAAGAATGCAGTAGGCAATTTACAAGTAGTTATACCCACACAGTATTCCTGGTGCTTTTCTTGTCCGCTTCGTTATGAGGTAAGAGGCAACTGCAGTCTGTGTGCTACATGTATTGCGTTTAAAGTGAGCCATATTCATATTGATGGACTGTGGCATTTGTAGCAGATATTTATCGTGAGAGAAAATCCTACAAAGTCAAACATCAGACCTTTGATACGGAGAAGCTTTACCTGTACATAGAAATATTCAGCATAGTCTTTCCCTCACCCTTCCCTCCCTTCTTTCTGTTGAAAGTGAATTGCTGAACTTTTATGCTTTGTTTTTTTTTTTCTGCAAAGACTTTAAAATTTTTGTTATAACTCATTCTGAGCTTCACAGCAAGATTAAAAGCTAACATTTGCTATGCTCATAGACAATGATTGTTGAAATGAGTCAATTATGAAAGAAAAGTAGTACAGTTCATAAATTCAGTTCTGTGATATTGTATATAAGTGTCCACAACAGAAGAATGGCTTGAGGATAGTAGAAACGTCTTAACAGCCTGAATCAATTTTTCTTAGATCTACTGCAATGGATGAAGAACTAAATCCAAAGATGCTAGCTTTGCATAATGCTCAGAGAAAACGAAAAATGGAACATGATGGTTCACTTTTTCAGGCAGTTGGAATTGTGAGTTTTGTTTTACCATTTTAAAATATTCACTTTTAACCTTGCAATTTCTGAAATGAGGCATCAGTGCAGACTCCTGAGTTTAGCTGTTGGTATGCAGTGCAATCTTGGGATCAGAGATAATTGTTCAGTAGTGAAATTCCCACGTATATGCAGATACTCTGATTTTAGTTCTCTTTTACTGTCAGCTGTTTCAAAAGTGCCCTCTACACCCAAGCACATTTCCTGATTAGGTAGAAGATACTCTTTTGTGAACATACAAGTTATTTGGTAGAATGTGCACAAGTGTAAAAGATCACATTTAAATTTATAATTGTCATATTTGTTTCACCCTTGAATTCAAACTCAATTTTTGTATTTGTCAATACTGGAGGTAGTGTTCTTATGCTGCTTTCTATGCTTCCCTTTTTCCATCGAGGCTGAGATTCCTTTATTTGATCAGATAACAAGACCATCTGAACCAGAAGGGAATAGAATTCATATCACCTAACAAATACATGTTACTACCACTTTCATTTCATGCGCACTCTCTCTAGTACCAGTGTGTCTGTTGGTGAGTAGCTCATAGCTCATCATCACCTGTGCTAGCTATTCAAAAGAAACTTTTTAGGTGTTCTTAGCCCCAATTAAGCAACACAAATCTATCCAGCTTGTTATTTTCTGCAAGGGCATTTTGTCTCCATAACCTTTGTCTCTTACTGTCAGTTCTCTTTGTATTTTGAAATCCTAAGCTTTGCCATTACATACTGTTATCTCTCTTCCTGCCTTCATTGCACATTCTCAGCTCTCTCAAGTTTTGCACGGTTAATTCTTAGTTCCTCTGCTGCAGCGTAGCCTTTGAGATGCTTTGTTTCTCTAGCGGTCCATCCCCTAGGTGTAGTCATCCATCATGTCTTACAGTGCAGGATTATTTTTCTTCTGAACTATGAAGTATTCCTGTATTAGCATTCTGGTTTGGGCATGAGACAAATCACTGCATAGGTCTGTCTTTATCATTGCTCTCCTCTAGAAGAGCTGAGAAAGCTTTTATATGTCCATTTTTTTTATGAGGCAAGCAGACTCTAGTTAAAAAAAAAAAAAAATCATACTTATGCCATTGCTTTAATTTGCTAAATGCTTTGCACTTCCATGCATGTTGTTCTGTTGCTTCCAGTAGCCCTGTAAGAAGTCACAGCTCTGCAAGAAGTTTTATTGTCCTCCATTGCCTTTTTCTCAGGCGACAGTGCTACAGCTGCATATAGGGTCACTGATAAAATACTCAAAGTAGCATGGGATGTCATTAAATACACAAGCAGTTTTGAATTAACTGCTGTAATAAGTGTTCAGGCTTCTATGCTTAGTGCCTTTTTAATCCTTATAGGTTCAAACTCCATCCTTTGCTAAACCCTTTTCTGTATCTGACAAAAAGCGTTACAAATATTTTGATGGTTTCTGCACAGTCAGAAGCTGAACTTCCCACATAGCTGGGTCTTACTGACATTATTT